AATGACTCAACGGGGAGAGGAGTGACTCACAGGGGAGAAAAATGACTCACCAGAGAGAGGAGTGACTCACAATGGAGAGGAATGACTCACCAAGGAGAGGAGTGATTCAAAGGAATGACTCACCAGAGAGAGGAGTGACTCACAGGGGAGAGAAATGACTCACCAGAGAGAGGAGTGACTCACAGGGGAGAGAAATGACTCACCAGAGAGAGGAGTGACTCACAGGGGAGAGAAATGACTCACCAGAGAGAGGTGTGATTCACAGAGGAATGACTCACCAGGGAGAGGAGTGACTCACAGAGGAGAGGAATGACTCACCAGGGAGAGGAGTGACTCACAGAGGAGAGGAATGACTCACCGGGGAGCGGAGTGACTCACTGGGGAGAGGAGTGACTCACCGGGAGAGGAGTGACTCAACGGGGAGAGGAATGACTCACCAGGGAGAGGAGTGACTCACCGGGAGAGGAATGACTCACCAGGGAGAGGAGTGACTCACCAGGGAGAGGAGTGACTCATCAGGGAAAGGAGTGACTCACCGGGAGAGTAGTGACTCACCGGGGAGAGGAGTGACTCAACGGGGAGAGGAGTGACTCAACGGGGAGAGGAGTGACTCAACGGGGAGAGGAGTGACTCAACGGGGAGAGGAGTGACTCAACGGGGAGAGGAGTGACTCACTGGGAAGAGGAGTGACTCACCAGGGAAAGGAGTGACTCACAGAGAGGAATGACTCACCAAGGATAGGAGTGAGTCACCGGGGAGAGGAGTGACTCACAGGAGAGGAATGACTCACCAGGGAGAGAAGTGACTCACAGGGGAGAGGAGCGACTCACCAGGGAGAGGAGTGACTGACAGGGGAGAGGAGTGACTCACCAGGGAGAGAAGTGACTCACCGGGGAGAGGAGTGACTCACCGGGAAGAGTGACTCATCAGGGAAAGAAGTGACTAATCGAGGAGAAGTGACTCACCGGGGGGAGTAGTGACTCACAGGGGAGAGAAGTGACTCACCGGAGAGAGGAGTGACTCACCGGGGAGAAGAGTGACTCACAGGGGAGAGGAGTGACTCACAGGGGAGAGGAGTGACTCACAGGGGAGAGGAGTGACTCACAGGGGAGAGGAGTGACTCACAGGGGAGAGGAGTGACTCACCAGAAAGAGGAGTGACTTACCGGGGAGAGGAGTGACTCACAGGGGAGAGGAGTGACTCGCCAGGGAGAGGAGTGACTCACCGAGAAGAGGAGTGACTCACCGGGGAAAGAAATGACTCACAGGGTAGAGGAGTGACTCACAGCAAAGATGAGGGACTCACGGTGGAGAGGAGTGACTCACAGGGGAGAGGAGTGACTCACCAGGGAGAGAAGTGACTCACAAAGGAGAGGAGTGACTTACCGGGGAGAGGAGAGACTCACAGGGGAGAGGAGTGACTCAGAAGGGAGAAGAGTGACTCGCCGAGGAGAGGAGTGACTCGCCGGGGAGAGGAGTGACTCACAGGGGGGAGGAGTGACTTACCAGGGAGAAAAGTGACTCACCGGGGAGAGGAGTGACTCACCAGGGAGAGGAGTGACTCACCAGAGAGAAGAGTGACTCACTGGGGAGAGGGGTGACTTACCGGGGAGAGGAGTGACTCACCGGGGAGAGGAGTGACTCACCGGGGAGAGGAGTGACTCACCGGGGAGAAAAGTGACTCACCGGGGAGATGAGTGACTTAATGGGGAGAGGAGCGACTCAATGGGGAGAGGAGTGACTCAATGGGGAGAGGAGTGACTCACCGGGGAGAGGAGTGACTTACTAGGGAGAGGAGTGACTCAATGGGGAGAGGAGTGACTCACCAGAGAGAGGAGTGATTTACCAGGGAGAGGAGTGACTCACAGGGTAGAGGAGTGACTCACAGGGGTGAGGAATGACTCTCCAGGGAGAGGAGTGACTCACAGTGGAGAAGAATGACTCACAAAGGGAGAGGAGTGACTCACAGGGGGGAGGAGTGACTTACCGAGGAGAAAAGTGACTCACCGGGAAGAGGAGTGACTCACCAGAGAGAAGAGTGACTCACTGGGGAGAGGAGTGACTCCCTGGGGAAAGTAGTGACTCCCTCGGGAAAGGAGTGACTCACCGGGGAGAGGAGTGACTCACCGGGGAGAGAAGTGACTCTACGGGGACAGGAGTGACTTAATGGGGAGAGGAGCGACTCAATGGGGAGAGTAGTGACTCAATTGGGAGAGGAGTGACTCACCGGGGAGAGGAGTGACTCACTAGGGAGAGGAGTGACTCAATGGAGAGAGGAGTGACTCACCAGGGAGAGGAGTGACTCACCAGGAAGAGTGACTCACAGGGTAGAGGAGTGACTCACAGGGTAGAGGAGTGAATCACTGGGAAGAGTGACTCACCAGCGAGAGGAGCGACTCACCAGGGAGAGGAGTGACTCACCGGGGAGAGGAGTGACTCACCGGGAGAGGAATGACTCGCCGTGGAGAAGAGTGACTCGCCGTGGAGAGGAGTGACTGACTGGGGAGAGGAGTGACTGATCTGGGAGAAGAGTGACTCACTGGGGAGAGGAGTGACTGATCTGGGAGAGAGACTCACTGGGGAGAGGAGTGACTCACCGGAGAGAGGAGTGACTCATCGGGGAGAGAAGTGACTGATCTGGGAGAGAGACTCACCGGGGAGAGGAGTGACTCACCGGAGAGAGGAGTGACTCATCGGGGAGAGAAGTGACTCACCGGGGGGAGTAGTGACTCACAGGGGAGAGAAGTGACTCACCAGGGAGAGGAGTGACTCACCAAGGAGAAGAGTGACTTACATGTAGAGGAGTGACTCTTAAGTGAAAGGGAGTGACTCACTAGAAGGAGGAGTGACTCACATGTAGAGGAGTGACTCACTGGGGAGAAGAATGACTCACGATGGAGAGGAGTGACTCACCGGGGAGAGGAGTGAATCACCGGGGAGAGGAGTGATTCACTGGGGAGAGGAGTGACCCTCGGAGAGAGGAGTGACTCACTGGGGAGAAGAGTGACTCACTGGGGAGAAGAGTGACTATCCGGGGAGAGGAGTGACTCGCCGGGGAAAGGAATGACTCACAGGGTAGTGACTCACCGGGGAGAAGAGTGACTCACCGGGGAAAAGAGTGACTCACCGGGGAAAAGAGTGACTCACCAGGGAAAAGTGACTCACCGGGGAAAAGAGTGACTCACCGGGGAAAAAAGTGACTCACCGTGGAGAAGAGTGACTCACTGGGGAGAGAAGTGACTGATCGGGGAGAAGAGTGACTCACTGGGGAGAGGAGTGACTGATCTGGGAGAGTGACTCACCGGGGAGAGGAGTGACTCACCGGGGAGAGGAGTGACTTATCGGGGAGAGAAGTGACTCATCGGGGAGAGGAGTGACTCACCGGGGAAAGAAATGACTCACAGGGTAGAGGAGTGACTCACAGGGTAGAGGAGTGACTCACCGGGGAAAGGAGTGACTCACTGGGGAGAAGAATGACTCACCATGGTGAATAGTGACTCAGAGGGTAGAGGAGTGACTCACCGAGGGGAGTAGTGACTCACAGGGGAGAGAAGTGACTCACCAGGGAGAGAAGTGACTCACCGGGGAGAGAAGTGACTCACCGGGGAGAGGAGTGACTCACCGGGGAGAAGAGTGACTCACAGGGGAAAGGAGTGAGTCACCGGGGAGAGGAGTGACTCACCGGGGAGAGGAGTGACTCACAGGGGAGAAGAGTGACTCGCCAGGGAGAGTAGTGACTCGCCGGGGAGAGGAGTGACTCGCCGAGAAGAGGAGTAACTCACCGGGGAAAGAAATGACTCACAGGATAGAGGAGTGACTCACCAGGGAGAGGAGTGACTCACCAGGGAGAGGAGTGACTCATCGGGGAAAGGAGTGACTCACTGGGGAGAAGAATGACTCACCATGGAGAAGAGTGACTCAGAGGGTAGAGGAGTGACTCACTGAGGAGAATGATTCACTGGGGAGAAGAATGACTCACCAGGGAGAGGAGTGACTCACCGGGGAGAATGATTCACTGGGGAGAAGAATGACTCAACAGGGAGAGGAGTGACTCACTGGGGAGAGGAGTGACTCACTGGGGAGAGGAGTGACTCACTGGGGAAAGGAATGACTCACAGGGTAGAGTGACTGATCAGAGAGAAAAATGACTCACCAGGAAGTGACTCACCGGGGATAATGACTCACTGGGGAGAGGACTGACTGATCTGGGAGAGCAGTGACTCACTGGGGAGAGGAGTGACTCACTTGGGATAAGAGTGACTCATCGGGAAGAGGAGTGACTCACCGGGGAGAGGAGTGACTTACAGGGGCGAAGAGTGACTCACCGGGGAGAAGAGTGACTCACTGAGGAGAAGAGTGACTCACTGGGGAGAAGAGTGACTCACCGGGGAGAGGAGTGACTCACCTGGGAGTGGAGTGATTCACCGGGGAGACGAGTGACTCACAGGGGAGAGAAGTGACTCACCGGGGAGAGGAGTGACTCACAGGGGAGAGAAGTGACTCACCGGGGAGAGAAATGACTCACCGGGGAGAGGAGTGACTCACAGGGGGAGAGAAGTGACTCACCGGGGATATGAGTGACTCACCGGGGAGAGGAGTGACTCACAGGGGAAAGGAGTGACTCACAGGGGAGAGGAGTGACTCACAGGGGAGAGGAGTGACTCACAGGGGAGAGGAGTGACTCACAGGGGAGAGGAGTGACTCACCAGAGAGAGGAGTGACTCACCGAAGAGAGTGATTCACTGGGGAGAGGAGTGACTCACCGATGAGAGGAGTGACTCACAGGGGAGAGAAGTGACTCATCGGGGAGAGTGACTCACCGGGGAGAGGAGTGACTCACCGGAGAGAGGAGTGACTCACCGGGAAGAGGAGTGACTCACCGGGAAGAGGAGTGACTCACCAGGGAGAGGAGTGACTCACTGGGGAGAGGAGTGACTCACCGGGGAGAGGAGTGACTCACAGAGGAGAGGAGTGACTCACAGGGGGAGAGGAGTGACTCACCAGTAGGAGGTGCTTGGTGGTGGAGTTGGAGAGAGTGTTGGGGGCGGCGGTGACGGTGAAGGTGACTGGAGGCGAGGCTGTGGTGGAGTGGAGGACGATGGCCACCCTGGAGGCCTCCACCCGCTCGTGCCCCGTCACCACCACCTGCACCGCCCCTCCCTCGGGCTCCTCCACGTGCACGATGTGCACCTGCTGTATGGGCGGGGTGTGGGCGTCGGGCGTGGGCGTGGGCGTCGGGAAGAGGCAGCCGTGGCACAGGGCGCTGGTCTCCACCACAGGGCGTACGTAGCGGGTCCTCAGTGGCGTCTCCACTACACACAGCTCCCCATTCTCGCCTCCTGTGTGTCAAGAGTAACACGTTATTGCCTCAGTCACTGTAGTCAAGAGTAACACGTTACTGCCTCAGTCACTGTAGTCAAGAGCAACACATTACTGCCTCAGTCACTGTAGTCAAGAGCAACACATTACTGCCTCAGTCACTGTAGTCAAGAGCAACACATTACTGCCTCAGTCACTGTAGTCAAGAGCAACACATTACTGCCTCAGTCACTGTAGTCAAGAGCACCACATTACTGCCTCAGTCACTGTAGTCAAGAGCACCACATTACTGCCTCAGTCACTGTAGTCAAGAGCACCACATTACTGCCTCAGTCACTGTAGTCAAGAGCACCACATTACTGCCTCAGTCACTGTAGTCAAGAGCACCACATTACTGCCTCAGTCACTGTAGTCAAGAGCACCACATTACTGCCTCAGTCACTGTAGTCAAGAGCACCACATTACTGCCTCAGTCACTGTAGTCAAGAGCACCACATTACTGCCTCAGTCACTGTAGTCAAGAGCACCACGTTACTGCCTCAGTCACTGTAGTCAAGAGCACCACATTACTGCCTCAGTCACTGTAGTCAAGAGCACCACATCATTACAACAATCATCTTCTGTGGGTGATTGTTCAATAAATCGCTGAAGTATAAGTTTAACAGATCATATAACGCCTGTCTATGGAGAACAATGATATGTAAGTTGGTTAACATTGTCCATGTATGGCCATGTCTGTTGAAGGCAAACATTGAGTCACTCATTGCTCTCTGGCTGACCCAATGACACTGTGCACTAATTGACCCGTTAACTGACTCATTCATTGCCCACTGACCCACTCACTGTCCATTAACTGACCCAATTACCAACTCACTGTCTAATGACTCACTGAATAACTGACTCACACGCTGACCCATTGCCAATTGATCCACCGACCCATTAACTGACCCACTCAAAACCCTCTATCTCAGTGACTCACTGCCTACTGGCCCATTAACCTACTGACACACCAGAAACTAACCCATTTTATATATTTTCTACCACAGACATCTCCATACATGTACAATGCTAACCATCATATATTCATTTTATTCTGTCCTCCACAGACTGGTTTAGGTATCTGTGAAATATATAGTTTAGCGATTTATTGAACAATCAACCACAGAAGATGGTTGTAGTAGTTTTACAATGATAATCTAACTTACATATTTACGTCTGTCTTACATAAACATGCAGTGTTTGAGTTATGTTTTTACATAATCTAAAATTAAATTTAAAAAAAGAAAATAAATATGACTGGAACAAAAGTGGACTCCAAGAAAAAGCTGAATAGTTTCCTGCAAGAAGTAACCGGACCAACCAGGCTGTGGTGGATATGTGAGTCTGCGGGCCACTCCAAGCAACAACCTGCCGAACCAAGTTACCACAAATCAAGCCTGGCTTGGGGAGTAGATGACTCCCAAAATCCCATCCAGGTACAGATGGTAACAGGGTTAGGTGGTGGCAGCGGAAATGTTACTTCAAATTGTAAGACGGTTGGAGAATAGCCAATCACAGAGGCAGCTATGCCTATGACGTCATTCCCACAGAGCCGGCAGTGGCCGCTCTCAAGTGGAGGCCACAAGTATCTCACACACCAAGACAGTTTAGGACCTCGGTGCTTCAGAGCTATCTTATTTACCTTAATAAAGAAAGCCCTGTGAAGCAATCTACAATGTCTCTCTTCAGTTCCAAGCAAGATCAAGTCAACAACCAAGCACGAATAATGGACGAATACTGGTAGCAGCAGTGGGATTTCATGATTTTTTTCTGAACCAGAAACTAAAGTGCCCACGCCGTAAGCCACCCACTACTGCCACCTGCTACACTCAAAGCATCATCAATAATTATACCAGTCCAAGTTCCTATCATCAACATCTGCTCTAGGTCAACGGTATCATAAAGTAAGGCAGGATATTTTGCAGCAAGCACAATTTCTCATCAGTGAGGGGAGAGGACAATTCCCGCGCCAGCCATTTTGAATTTCCCACGGCATTTCGAATCTCCTGTGCCACCCACCACAGGAGTCAAGAGCAGAGCAAGAGCAAGATGCATGTCTTTTGTGTGGTTTGTCTGTACTGTTCCAGCTAATGTCATAGTCGCCTCCAGCTCCGAATGATCTCCGGATGTGTTGTGCATTTTTTAAGAACAATTAGTGTTAACCTGCTTTTGACTGTACTGACGCCATCACCGCCGCTACTCAGGGGCCGGATTCAGGAAGGTACTTACGAAGGTTTTTCCTCTTAGCTAAGAGCGTTTCCCGTCTTAGTGCCTTTGTGGCGGCTACGTCCGTATTCAAAGAGCTACCCTAAGTGGAAAAACCTTCGTAAGTTCATTCCGGGATTTAAGTGTGGTTTCGACCACTCGTAGCTTTACGTAAACTGGATATAAGTCATTTTTTCTCTACTACATAACACTGGGATCGATTTATGATATTGGAACATGACTAAAATATTATAGCTGGTGAATCTAGTGAAGAGGAGTCCTTCGTGTTAGTTATATATGCATTCTCTGCTTGAAACTTGAAGTAAATATGTGTCTGATGATAGTAGAATTAGTTTTATAATAGCAAGATATTATACCAGTAGTTATTAAGTAAATAAACACTGGTGAACATGAAATATGAGAGAAGGTGATGAGCCCTGCCTGATGGGATCATTTACTATCACCAAATGCCCCTGTTCATCTAGTAGTAAGGGTGTACCTTAGCTATACATACCCATTTCTAATTTATTTAGTTTGGTTTTATTTTGAAATTAAATCTGGGTGAGACATAAAATAAAATATGCTGCACAAATGATGTTAGGTAAGGAAAAGGATAAAAATGTCAAAAACTTTATTCATTGAATACTTAAAGCTATAATTATGACTATATAGATTATTAAAAAAGAGAGGGGGAATTAGGGGTCCAAGACCTCTTCCTGTTATACAATTTGGGTGTGGAACAAGTAATTATCAAAAGAAGGCACCATGCCGGGAAGGCTATGTAGCAGTAAGGCAGTGAGGTGAGGCAGCTACTTATTTGAGAAATGCTTATTTTATTTACCTTATAAGCTGAGGCAACTTATTTTATTTGAGGAATACTCAGCTGATTCCTCTACATTTAGCATGGAACAAATTTGTGTCCAAGACCTCTTCCTGTTACTCAATTTGGCTGTGTGTAACCAAACTAGAAGTGCTCTACAAATCAAGGGACCCAGAATGTGGAATGACCTCCCAAATCATGTCAAAGGCTGTACCTCTCTCAACCAGTTTAAGAGTTAAACCAAGTACTGCCTAATTAACTCCATGTAACCTAACTTACCTCCTAAATGTCAACCCATGTCTTGCTATTTTTTAAACAACGCTGTTCACCAACATGTGCAATTGCTGATTTATGCTATGTTAACCCCCCTTTTTGTATTTTTTATTCCTTCTTTCAACACAATTTATACCTAATCCCGATTACTATTAAGTTTTAGTCTGTGTTTTTTCCCCCCACACCTTGCCCGAAATGCTATGAGTATTAGTGGCTTTAGGTATTGTATGTACTAGCTCTGCCTATAAATCCAACATTATGTTTGTAAATCAACTGTATGTACTTTTCCTGAATAAAATGTATTTATTATTTATTTTTTAATCAGTAAGTATTAAAAGAAGGCACCAAGCTGGGAAGGCTATGTAGCACCATTGTGTGTAACAATAAACCAAATTTTTTTTAACAAATAAAGCACCTGTATGGGAAAACAAATCCTGTCAGCTGTAAAAATATTGATGCAGTTATTTAAATGAAAAATATAATGAAAGAAATATTACTGGTTTATTTTTATCCTATCTTTTTGTACTGTACAGTATATCCAAGGAAGTGAAAAATTGAGACATAATGCACAATTTAATGAATGATTAGCATGGATTAGCAGTTCAAAAGAAATATGACTTGTATTACATATCAACATGAGATCTTAATGATCCATGGTCAACATGATTTAATAAGGATAATACAGTACTGTATTTGTAATAATACAAACTATAATTTAAAATCTTTATTACTGATTTTTTTTATTAAGAAGATTAGGTATACACAGCAATGGGCTGCTACCCTATTCTATATGGAATATTACACAGTATAGATAAAAAAACTAGCTATAAGTTTATCTAATACTCCCATCTCACAGGATGGTTAGACATACTGTACATGGAATCAATTTAGAAAATACCAGCCTCAATACAAAAAACAAATCAACTCTGACTAAACAACTCTAAGCAATTTTCACAAGAGCTAGGCACTGAATCATGGAAACATTATATTATAATTACTCTTACCAGTTTCTACAAAACTCCTCTCAAACAATGTATTTTTAAACATGTTTAGGTATACACAGCAATGTGCTGCTTCCCTATTCTGTATAAAGGACCACACAATGTAGATCAAAAACCAGCTACAAGCTCACCCAACATCCTCAGCTCACAGGATGGCCAGTCATACATGGAATTAGGAGAGAACAAAATACTTAATGCTGATCTATTAGCCTCCACTGGCAAAATCTGGGTGCAGCACAAGAATATCTTCCAATATTCCTGAGTGTATGAAGTAAATACAGAGCTCAAAATACCTCATACCATTTGGTATGAAGTCACTGATAACAGGACAATCACAGATAGAGTGTTGGAGAGTATGTTCTCTCAAGTAGGACTGAAAACAGACGTTTTTTTTTTCCACCAAGAGGGCTATAAACCCATGGAACCGCCTACCCGCTGAAGCCGTAAATGCCAAATTCCAGCTAAAAAATATCATTAAGACAATTGGTGGGCCCTTTAACAAGCCGCCGGCTTTCTGTCCTCTTCGAGGTCACTAGATAGTTAGTGGCCCTTGGGTAAATTCAGTAAATATATACAATAATTGTCAGCGCATCTTCCGAGCAACAAGGACAGCTACACAGTATCTCTTAGAATTACGTAGGTAAACAACAAATGTAACATATTTGTTTACTACAATGTCGGT